GAGTACTGACCACCAGGGGGCAGCTTCTGCCTTGAGCGTCTTCCCCCTGGTGGCCAATGCGTGTCATAGAGAACGGTTCTTCCACCATCGGGCTGAAACTGGCTCTCCGATATCCCCAAGGGGTCCTGGATTGCAAGAGGGCACAGGCCAGGCTGAGGGACCCTACTGGTGCACAATTGGGGCCAGGGAGGGACCGCAGGAGGGCTCCAGGGCATGTCCAACCTGTCTCGCTTAGTCCTGATTGGCCGGACCCCAGCAGCAAGTTAACCTGATTGCAGCGTCTGCCCCCTGGTGGTCAGTGCACATTATAGCAACTGGTCGACTGTCTGCCCCCCTGGTGGTCAGTGCACGTCATAGCAAGTGGTTGAGCGGCCTTAGCATATCATTAGCATATTATGCTTTGATTGGTTGAATGGCCAACCGGATACTTAGCATATTAGGCTTTTATTATATAGGACTAGAGGCCCAGTGCACAAAAATTTGTGCACTTGGGGGGGAAAGGGGGGTCTCTCAGCCTGGCCTGTGCCCTCTCGCAGTCTGGGACCTCTCAGGAGATAACGACCTGCTGGCTTAGGCCTGCTCCTGGGTGGCAGAGGGCAGGCCCAATCCCTAGGTGCAGCCCCTGGTCGGGCTCAGAGCAGGGCCAATCAGGGGGTTGGGGCGCTGCCCCCTGTCATGCACAGAGCAGGGCGGATTGGGAGGTTGAGATGCCACCCTCAGTCACGCTCAGGGTGGGGCCAATTGGGGGGTTGGGGCACCGCTCCCTGTCACACTCAAGGCAGGGTCGATGGGGAGGTTGCGGCGCCACCCCCTGTCACGCACAGAGCAGGGCCAATCAGGGGGTTGGGCGCTGCCCCCTGTCATGCACAGAGCAGGGCCCATCAGGGGGTTGGGGAGCTCCCCCCTGTCACGCACAGAGTAGGGCAGATCAGGGGGTTGGGGTGCCGCCCTCTATCACCCACAGAGCACGGCCGATCAGGGGTTTGGGTCGCAGCCACTGTCACACTCAGGGCAGGGCCGATGGGGAGGTTATGGCTCTACCCTGTCACACACAGAGGCAGGGCCTGTGGGGGGGGGGGGGGTTGTGGCGCCGCACCCTGTCACACACAGAGCCGCAGGGCAATCAGGGGATTGGGGCGCCTTCCCCTGTCACGAACAGAGCAGGGCGGATAGGGAGGTTGTGGCCCCGCCCCCTGTCACACACAGAGCCTCAGGGCGATCAGGGGGTTTGGGCGCTGCCCCCTGTCACGCTGATCTGGTGCCAGGAGGCCTCGAGGCTCTGCTGATCCCGGTGCTGGGAGGCATATTACCCTTTTACTATATAGGATAGAGGCCTGGTGCATGGGTAGGGGCTGGCTGGTTTGCCCTGAAGGGTGTCCTGGATCAGGGTGGGGGTCCCCACTGGGGTGCCTGGTCAGTCTGGGTGAGGGGCTGAGGGCTGCTTTCCGGCTGGCGGTTGTTGACTGAAGCTCCCAACCACTCCTTTTTTTTTCTCTTTTTTAAATTTTATTCTGGGCCAGCTTTAGCTCTGGCTCTAGCTCTGAGGCTTCCGCTGTTGAGCATTCTATAATCGAAACAATGTATAACTCCAGCTCTGAGATCCTGGCCTTTTGTTTAGCTTCTATATTTGTTAGAATGTTTCAAACTGCCGGCTCAGAGGCCGGCAGCGCAGGTGGGGAACGTTGGAGTCCTCCTTCACTGAAGCAAGCAAGCCTCATGTTCGCTTCCAGCTGCCTGGCTGCCGGCCGCTGTCTTGGCTGACAGTTAATTTGCATATACTCACTGATTAGCCAATGAAAAGGGTAGCGGTCTTACGCTAATTACCATGTTTCTCTTTTATTAGTGTAGATATGCATAGCCCATGGACACAGATAATAGTGTGATGTAGGCCTGGGGAGTGGGGCAGGAGTGGAGAGGAGGGGGTCAAGGAGCTTATTCTTGTACATGATATAAGAAAGTGGTTTTTTCATATATCTGTCCATTTATTGAAGAGACAGTCTTTACCTCATTGCATGTTCTTACCTCCTTTTTAATATATTAATTGGCCATAAAGGTGTGGGTTTATTTCTGGACTCTATTTTGTTCTATTGATCTGTATATCTATTTTATGCCAGTACTATGCTGTTTTGGTTCCTATGGCCTTGTAGTCTAGTTTGATATCAGGTAATGTGATTCCTCCAATTTTGTTCTTCTTTCTCAAGATTGTTGTGACTATTTGGGGTCTTTTGGGATCCCATATAAATTTTAGGATTATTTGTGCTAGTTTTGTGAAAAATGCCATTGGTATTTTGATAGGAACTGCTTTGAATGTATAGATTGCTTTGGGTAGTATGACATTTTAATGGTACTTCTTCCTATCCATGAGCACAGTTATGCTTCCATTTATTTGTGTCTTCAGTTTCTTCATTGTCTTAACAATGTTTTCCAAGTACATGGTTTTCACCTCTGTGGTAAAATTTATTTATTTTTTATTTTTATTTTTATTTTTTTAAATATATTTTATTGATTTTTTACAGAGAGGAAGGGAGAGGGATAGAGAGTTAGAAACATCGATGAGAGAGACACATCAATCAGCTGCCTCCTGCACACCTCCTACTGGGGATATGCCCGCAACCCAGGTACATGCCCTTGACCGGTATCGAACCTGGGACCCTTCAGTCCGCAGGCCGACGCTCTATCCACTGAGCCAAACCGGTTAGGGCATAAAATTTATTTTTTGATGCAAATGTTGTGTCCTGCTTCTTTACTGAATTCATTGTCAGCTCTAACCGTGTCTCAGTGGGGTCTTTAGGGCTCGCTTTCTATAGCTGTGTCATCTGCGAATGATCGTTTCACTTTTCCAAAGCAGCAGGGCTTTACGTACCTCATCTCACTCGTCCCTTCCCCTGTCTGTGACATTGTGCCTCCAGCACAGAAGCTGGACTCGGGAGGGAAGTCAGCTTGCCCTCCAGGAGGCCCGTGGCAGAGCTGGCATTTGACCCAGGCCAGCATCACCACTGTCTGGCCCCAGCCCTGGCCAGTGCCAGACAGTAACCTCCCTTTTCTGTTTCAGGCCCTGAAGCGCCAAAGCCTGTTGGGTCTTTCCTTCTTTAACAGCATCTTGGCCCATGGGGATCTGCGCAACAACAGGCTCAACCAGCTGTCTGTCAACCTGTGGCACCTGGCCCAGAGGCATGGCTATGCGGACACCAGGACCATGGTGAGACTCAAGGGGGCCCCCACACCCCTGGGGTCCGGGAGGTGTGGTGAGCTACCTGAGCCTCCTGGCCAGAGCATAGCTGGTGCAGCACAGCATCGGGGCCAGGAGCCCTGCTTCCCCTCCTAGAGGTGCTAGGCCCCAGATCTCTGCAGGGTCCTTTCCTTGCTCTACAAAATATAACATCATTGAAAGTTTATTCCCTCTGAATAAAAACTACACATATTAAAAGATCAGTCATTCATGTTCAAATCCAAATGGATTTGAGGGCAGTTGGTAACCCAAGAGGTTTTATGTAAAGACTAGAGGCCTGGTGCACGAAATTCCTGCATGGGGGGTCAGGATGGGAGGTAGTCCCTCAGGCCGCCTGCACCCTCTCGCAATCCAGGACCACTGGCTCCTAACTGCTCGCCTGCCTGCTTGATTGCCCCTAACCACTTGCCTACCTGATCGCTTCTAACCACTCACCTGCCTGCCTGGTTGTCCCTAACCACCTCTGCCTGCCTGTCTGATCACCCCTAGCCACTCGCCTGCCTGCCTGATCATCCCTAACTGCCTCTGCCTGCCTGCCTGATTGCCCCTAACCACTCCCTGGGGGGTGGGGCCAGCCTGGGCAAGGGGCTGTGGTGTTCTGGTCTCTGGTCGTTCCACTGTTTTGGTTGCTGGGCTTTTATTATATAGGATATTGCTGGTTTCTTTTCCTCCTTTGTCCTCCAAAGATTTGATCTGTCCTCTGCTAAGAAAAAATTAGAAGGTCCCAGCATGGCTGGTTTGTTGCAGTCTTGGCTCCGAGGATAGGGAATTATGAACAGAAAGATGAGTCCTTCCTTTTCCTCCCAGGTGAAAACTCTGGAGTACATCAAGAAGCAAGGGGAACAACCAGACATGACTCATCTGACTGAGCTGGCCCTTAGGCTTCCTTTGCAAACAAGGACCTGATTTTGCCCCAGGGGCTCTGGTGCCAAATCCAGAAAACACCTGCTTTTTACTTTCTTTTTACATAGACAGTTGTCTTAAGCTTTGGCCTCTACCCAGGTTATTCTGAAGAAGTGGCATTGTAAGAGCATTAAATCCCATCTTGTTCACTGAGTGGCAGGATACAAGTAACATCTTTCTTTTCGGGGGGTGGGGTGTCTTTTTTTTTTTTTAATTGGAAAAAGAACCTTAAAAGAGGCACTGTTTGCTCTCCCTAATTTGAGTTTGTAATTAAATGTTGCCTACAGAACCCTGGAGGATTTATAAAAGGCAGGCTCAAAAAAGATTTTTCTATCAAAAAGCAGCTCTTGATTGGATTTTGAACATGTTCTGTAATAATGGAATAAACCTCCTGAAGGGATATTTATGTTCATGGCTGTTCATTTCATTACTTCTGATTCTCTTCATCCAGAAGGAGAATGTTTCTGAACATATTGCCTAGTTTGCTGTGCTGCCATAATTCTAAATAGCATGTGATTGAATCAATAGAGTATTAATATTGATTGGCTGTTGAAGAGAATGCATCAAAGTTGTAGATTAAAAGCACCCAAATTATTGTGCTGGACATAGATTACATTCGTCTCCACCCTGTGAAATGCATGATTACAATTCACACAGCCAATCTCAGTAAAAGTGGCTAAGATCATTTTAAAAATAAATTTATATAAACTAATGTTTTAACAGTTCACTACAAGAACATACTGTAGATTTTTTGGCTAATAGTTGCATCTCCACCCACAAGGACTTCTGATGAGAAATGGCGTCCACTAAACAGCAGGTACCAAAGAATGCCCTTCATGGAACAAAATACACAGAAATTCAGAGCATGTTGCATCGCCCAAACACCCCCAAGTGGCCTTTATTTCGCAAAATTATTTCCAATACCACTTTTACTACGATACTATTTAAATGAAAAAATTCACAAAATCACAAATTATGTGCCTAAAAAAGTTACTTCTATGTTGAGGCTGTACACTTCAAACAGAATTAATTACAAAACCTGAGTAGGTGGATCATACATACACCAGAGCTACTGTCATGTGGCCTGGCCCAGCAAAGCTGATTTCTACACCCAAGAATATATTTTCCATTGATTTTTTTTTTTTTTAGAGCATGGAATGGACAGAGAGGGAGGGGAGGGGAGTGGGGGAGAGACATAGATTGGTTGCCTTCTGCATGCTCCCCAACCGGGCCAGGGATGGAACCTAAAATCCAAGTACCTGACCTTGACCTGACATCAAACCCGTGACCTTTCGATGCACAGGCCGATGCTCTAACCACTTAGCAGCACTGGCCAGGGCAGAGTTGTAGGGCTCCTGACCTGGCCAATGCTTGCTCGCCAGAGCCCTAGCAGGCCTGCCTTACCTCTGCCCCTACTCCTCCCACCAGCATCCGTCCTCACTGCTCTTGGCTGGCTTGCCTGAGGAGAACCTTCCTCTGTGTCAGGGGCCACAGGGTTTCCATCTTCCTCTGGAATGTTCTAGTTTCTTGATGAGCTGCCTGGAATTGCTATGGCCATCCCTCCACCGATCTGAGGAGCCACTGATGGAGCAGGGAGGAAAGAACGGTTCTCTGGTGAGTTGCTGGGTCAACCCCTCTATCAGGACTTCCTGCCATCGGAGACTGACTCTCCTGGCCATGTAGGCCTGCCTGAATGGTGTGTGCAGGAGGCATGCAGCCAAATGATGTGAAAATGTCCCGACCAGGACCTGTATTTTAGAAAGCAAAATTCTAGCTGAATGGGGAGAAGGTGGTCACATCACTTGGGTCTCTGTACCTAGGGCTCTGAGACTGGCTGTGGAGTTCAGGCTGGGACATGGTCCCCACAGTGCGTGGGGCAGCCACACCTGCTTGGTGGCAATTCAGATACTTACTTGCCTGCAGCTACTCTGAGACAGGAAAGGAAAGTGAGCTTGTTATTCTGCTTATCACTAACTCCACTTCCTGTCTGAGATTTAGACATGTAATAGACTTCTGTTCCTTCGATCAGGTCTTTTTATCCCCAGTGAGTATTCTGGGAGAAATTCCCAGAGGGGGACATCCAGAGCAGTGAATGTAGGGCTTGAGGTACAAAAGTACACTTGGCACTTAGTGGCTGGGTGACCCTGGACAGTTATTACTTCATCCCTGAACCTCAGTTTCCTCATCCATTAAGATGGGGATAAAAACAGCACCTATTGCATAGTTAAAATTAAATACATCAATGCAAGTAAGACATATTAGTATGTGTCTGGCACATCTAAGTCTTCAACAAACAGCTGTTATTTATACACAGTGGTGTCTTCAATCAGGGACGGAGGGCTTAGTACAGAAAATAGTGGATTTTGGCCACTCGCATGTTTTCTCAGCTCCTGAACCATGTGCTGCCCCCACCCAGGCCGTCCAGCACATCCAGTCTTCCTTAACCTTCGCAGGAGCTGGTCAGAGGCTCTCATCTGCGTAACTGAGTAACAAAAGCAATTTTGACTCAGGAGACAAGACAGTAGAGTTTAATCTTCAAACTTGATGGACTTGGAAGCGTTCCTGTCGATATAGAAGACTTTGTTTGGGGCGGCGAAGCCAAGGCCCGTGCGCCCGCCATGCTTCCAGCTCAGGGCCCGCGTGTAGTCCTGCTGCAGGCTCTGCTGCAGGCTGCTGGCCGCCGTCCTGTCCAGCGCCATGTTAGGCCTCCTGGTCGTGTCAGGGGTGCGGCCAAAGGAAGGGGACAGATTTTTAAAGCCGCCCATAAGTTTGAGAAATTTCAGCTTCTGTTCCTTGTTTTCAAAACCAGCAGTATCCCACTGGCCAAACTGAGTGCCCTGTGTTAAGAGAAAAAAGGTGCTATTTTCCTCATTTCCAAAGCCCTTTCCCTTCCTGAACCATCTCCCCAGGGAGGACCCAGCTGATTGAGTGCTTGTTCTGTACCAGACACTTGCTCCATCTGCACTCAGGAATACTGCTGCTTCTCCCACTTCACTGATACGTTTGCAGCTTAACTAGGACACAAGCCTAATCAGTGACCCCACTAGAATCCCATCTCACGTCTGGCCAGCACCAGAGAGCACCTTTCACGCGCCAAGCTGCCTGCCCACTTTACTCCTCCCCTAACTCATGGCAAATAGCCTGGCACACCTCACCTCCAGCACACCTCACCTCACCACCTGGCCACCCATCCATCCACCAGCCCAAGGTTATTGTCAGTTAGAGAAGGAGGAGGAGGAGGAGGAGGAGGAGGAGGGCAAGTGGCAATGTGAAATGCATTTCTATTCGCAGAAGCACCCGATTTGTAGCAGAAAGGGAGTGGAGGCTCGGAGAAGTAAAGGGTCACACAGCCAAGTCAGAGGCTAAGCCAGACCCTGAACTTAGGGCTCACGATTCCTGTCCAGAGTACCCTACCACCCATGCACAAATCACCCACTTTCACCCTTCAGAGCAGTGACCTAAGAAAAGAAGCCCTTCCTTTCTGAGTCTGTGGAGAGGCAAGAACTCAGCTCCCCAAGAAAAGGACTCTGAAGCCATGTGTCCCAGAGTCAGGAAGGAAATGAACCCAGGACAGTTCTGAGGCAGGGGGTTGGGGTCTCCTCACTCAGTTCCTCACGCTGCCAGGAGGGGAGGGCTCAGGACACTGACGGACTACCTCAAAGAGCGCTGGCATCACACTTACTGTCCACGTCTGGGTTCCAGAGGCTTCCGTTTTGCCTGACTCACGATCAATTTCTTCCTGCAAGGCTTTTCGCCTCACCTGAGCAAGGGGGAGGAAAGATAAAAAGAAATGAGACACAGAAGTTATCCTTTGAGCTTAAAACCCAGAACAAAGGTGGGGCAGAGGGACTGGAGGGTGACAGGAGAGCACAGCTTTACTCAGCTGCAACTTGGGGAAGGCATTTGTCTGAAGGAGCTCTGAGCATCTTAAGGATTGTGATCCCTGAGCCTGAAAGCAGGCAGGCCTCACTTCTCCTTGCTGAGCCTTTCCTTAAAAATGAATTTTCAAGAGGCAGATCCAAGAAGGTGGCATAGGAGGACACTGAGCTGCCCTCTCAAGGTCACATGGGATGTCCAGTACACTAGAGCAACTCCTCCTGAGAAACAACTGAGGGCCAACTGCGCAGCTTCTGCACCGCAATCAAGAGAGACCGCAGAGAATGCTGGGAACCGAGCGCGCTCTTGGGAGCTGGGGAGCTCTCCAGGACCGGAGGAATGGTGAGAGTCACTGTTTACATTTCCCCTTCACATGATAGTGGGTGGGAGCTCTTTCCAGGGTCTTGGGTTTACCTGCAGGGCAACAGTAGTGCAAACCCAGCCACCCCACCTGGACTAGCGCCACCACCTGGAGATTAATCCAGCAGGCACATCAGGGTGCTGCATGCTCCCACTGGGTGTGTGCCGAGCTTGCCGCCTGGAGAGAGTACAGAGCTAGTAGGGCTGTCATGTGCATACCCAAGCAACCCTGCTGAGACCCAGCTTGTGCAACAGACAACAAAAGCAACAGGAAGCACCTTATGGACACCTGGATACCAAGCAGGCCACCCAGGTAACCAGGGCAAAGAGGCAGGCAAACACCAGGATGCCTCCCTCACCAGAAATCCACACCTGGCCAGGCAGCACACCAGGCCCTGAGCACACCCAACCAGATGACCAGCAGCCTGCCAAACAGCCCAGCACACAGTCTACCCAGAGGCCACTTTTAAAAAATATATATGGTTTTACTGATTTTTAGAGAGAGAGGGAGAGAGAGAAACATCAATGTGAGAAACATCAATCAGCTGTCTCCTACATGCCCCCTACTGGGGATCAAGCCAGCAACCCAGGCATGTGCCCTGACCAGTAATCAAACTCGTGACACTTGGTGCATGGGACCATGTTCAACCAACTGAACCACACTGGCCAGGGCCAGAGGCCACTTTTTCAAGATTGGGAGAAAAAGCTATTTCATCTAATTCATAGGAATAAACACAGAAAGTCAGGCAAAATGGGGAGATATAGTAGGTCCGCGCAACGTAGCGCGGTCCCACCTACATAAGCACCTATGTCACTTACATGGAGCACATACACAGCAGTAATTAAAAGTAAAACAGTAAAAACATTTTAAAAGAAAGATAACAATTCCTGACACTTACTTGTGGTAAACAAATAATAAAAAACATAAAGCACATACGTACATACGTCAAAATGACGGAACTTTTTTTTTTAGTAAATAAACTAGAGGCCCAGTTCACAAAAATTTGTGCGGGGGGGGGGGGGGGGTCCCCTTAGCCCGGCCTGTGCCCTCACAGTCTCGGACCACCTGCTGGCTTAGGCCCACTCCCCAGGGGATTAGGCCTAAGCTGGCAATCAGACATCCCTCTGGCAGCCCGGGACCCCTCGGGGGATGTCCACTTGCCAGCGGGGAGCAGGCCTAAGCTGCAGTCGGACATCCTTAGCGCTGCTGAGGAGGCGGGAGAGGCTCCCACCACCACTGCTGTACTGGCAGCCATCAGCCTGGCTTGTAGCTGAGCAGAGCTCCCCCTGTGGGAGCACACTGACCACCAGGGGGCAGCTCCTGCATTGAGCATCTGCCCCCTGGTGGTTAGTGTGTGTCATAGTGACCAGTCATTCCCAGTCGTTCTGCTGTTAGGATCAATTTGCATATTGCCCTTTTATTATATAGGATAGAGGCCTGGTGCATGGGTGGGGAC